AGAAATCCCCACACCCCCCCCCCCCCCGACATCACGCATTCACATGTAACAAAGGTGATTACACAAAAACTTTAATTTAAAATTTTATAATTGAATATTTTCTCAACTCTTTTAGGCTACTTATATGCTACAAAAAAATATCTTAAATAAATCTAGAAAAATAATATAAGAGTTTCAAATTAAATATTAAAAAGAATAATAAATCATCTAGAAAAATATGTCAAAGCCTAAACAATGATGTTTTAGCCTTATTTGAAGGCCTTGCCCACATCAAATGACTGTGCACTATTAAAATTATAAGGAACATGGCTTCTGTAAATGTCACAACATATACCAATCTTTCACAGGAAGTTTTCCTCAAATTTTGATACTTGTAATAGGTCATATGATTCTTTGGTCTTAAAACATCACTCAAAACTCCCTTTTTCTTTTTAACAGATACTGCATATGATAATTAGGGATGAAAATAAGTACTTATAGTTCAAGTTTTTTTATATTCATACCTTACCTATTACTTATTAGATAATGTTTTTTAGATATTTATATCTTATTATATATAAACAAGTATATGACGTTGTTACACCTATAAATGATCTTAAAATGTGGTCACAGGTTTCCAGCCAACACACTTGATTTTAAAATAAAATATAAAATTATAAATAAATTTTTTATGTAAATGAAAAGGCAAGTCTAAGAATGACAGGATCATCTAACAAACACAAAAGATACTTAATTTTGCAGAAATATAAATACAGAATAATGAGTAGAATTTAAATATATGTATATATGTTGAAATGAAATTTAAAGGAATCTTACTTAAATTTGTATAGAAACCAATACAAGAGATATATGTTATGTGGTTTGGATAAAACAATATGGATATGTTTATAGGATAATATATGGCAATAGAAAAGGTTACATGAAATTATACAATGAGAGTATTTTATGCCTTTTACAGAGAAACTCGTCTATGTAGTTCTTCATCCAAAGCTCAGGAGGAGGCTTTTTATATAAAGGAGGTTGAGATTGATTTCTTGAAAATTTCATAAAGCAAATGATTTGCTTTTTAAAAAGTTAGAAAAGTTATTTGTTGCACTGAAAGTTGTTTATCACTCTTACAAATGGAGGATCAATATTTTGAAAAGTCAAATTGAAATCTTACTGGTTTAACCACTTGTGCCATTAGGAAGA